CCTTAGAGTGCCGTCGGCCAGACAATGCCGGCTGGCGACCCCCAGGGGGAGAGCCTTCTCTGTGGCAGCTCCTGCCCTCTGGAATGACCTACCCCCCGACCTACGTACAGTTGCGGACCTGCACCTTTTTCGCCGAGCCCTGAAGGCCCATCTATTCCGTGCGGCCGGCCTGGCGTAGTTTGATTATGTTTCAGTGGGGTTTTTTGTATGGGTGTGTTTTTAGAACAGGCCTGTTATTTAATTCAATTTTAGAACAGAAGCTATTTATTTATTATCGTGGTTTTTAGTATCGCCTGTTCGCCCTGAGTCCCGTAAGGGAGATAGGGCGGTATATAAATTTAATGAATAAATAAATAAATAAATAAAGGGCAGCGGTTCTCAACCTGTGGGTCGCGACCCTTTTGGGGGTCGAACGACCCTTTCACAGGGGTCGCCTAAGACCATTGGAAAACACATATTTCCGATGGTCTTAGGAACTTAGTCTAAGATATGCGGCGGTGTTCTTTTGCATCCACCTCAGGATCGGGGAATGGCTTTAAAGGCTCTCCGTGCGGTCCCGGATGTCCTTCGGCTGAATCAAACAGGAGCGCTTTTTCCAGGGAAGCCTTTTCGCAGCCGAGCTAGTCTCTCCTCGTATTCTGCAGAAGAGTCGGCGCGATATTGCTCGGCTTTGCCCCACAAACCACGGAAGGTCGGCTTAGTCCGAATGCTTCCCAGGTGCAGGAAGGCAACGAGTGGTGCTAACCGGAGTCAGAAACTTCCTCCGCTGCCCCTATCGCTAGTTCCTCCGCTGCCCCTATCGCTAGTGGGAATCACCTGCGCTAGTGGGAATCACCTATCGCTAGTGGGAATCACCTGCGCTAGATGGGAACGGCAAGTCCGGGGGGGGGGAAGCAGAGGACTGCCTGCAGGGGGAGGAGTTTGTGACCTTTCCGAGACCGCCTGAGCAGCCAAAGCAGCCGCAGTTCCAGTAGTCTTCGCCTGAAGAGGTGAGAGGCAGCCCCGCAGAACAGCCCTTCCCCTCCTGCCACCGATTCTCCTGCCCGCTGTTCCCCCACCTACCCCGGCCGAGTCCTGCCCTGTCAGAGAGCCCCGGATTCCGTGCGGGCCCAGCAGAGCCAAGCGGAAGGGAAAGCCGTTGATCTTCATTCAGGCAGGCCTGGAGTTAGTTCTCTGAAGGACGTTCGGTTTCATTCTGGCTCAGAGAAGCATCACTCCCTCAGGGGGATCGTGATTTCTGGCAAGCGGCCAGTTATCGAAGCCCGGCTTCCTCCTATCCCCCTACTGCCCTGTGCGCACATCCCCCCCACTCTGAGCCTCCTCCTCTCTTCCATCCTTTACTTCTTGCCCTGCGGTGCGGTTGGTGCCCTCCGCTTTTCCTCAATGGCTAAAGACAACTTTGCTCACTCAGAGCTTTTTCCTCTCTTCCCACGGCAGCTGATTCCCCCCCCCGTCCTCTGTGATCCCTGCAGCCCTCCGTAAGACAGCACGTACTTTTTGATTTCTGCTGCTCAATCCCTCCCCCCCCTTGATGGCTTTCTACTTGTGGGATGCAGGGGAAGGGAGCGCCATTTCATTACAGGTGGGAGAAGGAAAACNCAGCCGAGCACCGCCGCAGCCTCCCAGCAGCAGAACGGCCCACCCCCCCTCCCCTCGCTTCTCCGCGCCGCAGCCTACCTTTCTGGAGCCCGTCACCGCGAACCCGCCGGGAGCCCAGAGGAGATACCTCGAGTATAACGCGCACCCAAACTTTGATTCCTTTTTTGGGTAGAAAATTTTGCGCGTTATACTCGAATAAATACGGTATGCAATTTTCCAGAGGCAGGAGAATCTGCCTTTAACATTTATTCTAAAATAAGACCACATTGTTTTAGAGATTGAGAAATGCTTATATGTTTCAGAAAAGTTTCATAGTAGTTTCACCAATTAGTGATAGGATAAGAAAAGTAGCTTAAGAAAATTATTTCCCCACACAAGCAGACTTGAGCTTCAAAAGGCTCTTGTACATAGACACACATTTTTCAGGAAAAGGATAGATAGATAAAACCCATTTACAACACAAACATTAACACCTTTTAGACAGAATTGAGAAGGAAATTAACCCAACAACAGACACTGATCCAAAAATTGGAAATGACAATTTTGGAAACCATGAAATGGTATAATAACTCATGTTTGAGAACTATTCTGTCTAGCTAACCGGGGATTCATGCTGAATGGTCATAATGTCTGTAGCTAGTCCAATGAAACAAAGTACAAAAGAAACGGTTTGCATCCATCAAAGAAAGGGACTGAGTTACTTGGCAATAAACTCACAGATTTTCTGGAGGAATATTTAAACTAAACAAGGGACAGTGAGTTAATTGAGATAAAAAAATTATAGGGTTAGCAGTGCAAGTAACATAGATGTGTGTGGACAAGAATATCAACCTGGCTATCAAGCAAAATCAAGCTTTTAATAGCGAGTGTCACACAAAGTGCGCTAACCAAACAGTGGTAAGGAAATAGGGGAACTCAGGCATCACGTCAGTGTCAGTCATAAAGGACTCAAATGTCTATACACCAATGCACAGAGTATGAACAGTAAACAAGGTGAACTAGAAATTCAGGTAAATGAGGGCAAATATGATATAGTTGTCATTATAGAAACATGGTGGGATAAAACCCACAAATGGAACACTCAGCTAGAGGGATTTCAATTGTTTAAAAGGAACAGACCAAATAAAAGAGGAGGCAGAGTTTCTCTCTCTATAAGAAATAACTACATATCTACAGAAATAGGGCACAACAATGATGAAAACTGTCTTGAATGCATTTGGGTCAATATAAAAGGGGGGGAAAATGACATTGCCATAGGTGTATACTATAGGCCACCCAACCATACAGGGGAAATAGAACTTTTTGCTAGTCAGCTAACTAAGGTACATGGGAAGCACATGACAATAGAACACAGTCAAACTAGAGTCTTGGACTTTAAGAGAGCTAATTTCAATAAACTTAGGGCTTGGGAGGGATTCCATGGATGAGAATCCTCAAGGATGACACCCAGCTGTACATCTCCACCCCGGACCACCCCAACGATGCCGCGGAAGTGATGTCCCAGTGCCTGGAGGCCGTGCGAGTCTGGATGGGGAGGAACAGGCTTCGTCTCAACCCGTCCAAGACCGAGTGGCTGTGGTTTCCGGCGTCACATCATAGCCAGTTGGTTCCATCTCTGGCTATCGGGGGTGAGTCATTAGCCCCCGCGGAGAGGGCCCGCAACCTGGGCGTCCTCCTGGATGCTCGGCTGTCTTTAGACGATCATGTGACGGCCGT